GAAACTTCGTGGCCACACTCAAGGGGCCAAAGAGCCGCATGTGGCTCCTGAGCCAGTTTGCCGACCACTGGTCTAGGGCAATGATACTCAATGTACTGTAGCTGCTTTGCAAACTGTTATTTCTCCATGCTGAGATAAGGAGCCTGTGCCAATGTGAACCATCACAGTGCTGTGGTGGTTCAAGAAAGACATGCTGTGAAAATAATGTCAGATGGGCCAAACAGTGTGCTTAGTGATACAGTGGGTGGCCTAGGGGAGAGAGAGAAGTTAGACGGTGTGGCCATAATCTCATGAACGATCTACTGTAAGTGTGTCTGTGGTAGAAACTTACTTCCAATAAGAGACCAACCTTTCTGAAAAATATTGGGCATTACACTGAAGCTTCTATGGCAATACCTAAGGCTCTAGAAACTGTGTTAGAGGTATCATAGGTAAAATGTTGCCACTGGTACAGAACAGTACCCTATGGCATGTCTTCTATTCCTGGGCAAATATGCAACAAACTTAGGAACCCAGTTTTGTTTTGTTTTCCTTTATTTTGGGGGCTTTTGTGTGTGAATCCACTTATTTTTTTTTAAAAAAACAACACATTAATTTTATTGATTTTTAGACAGAGAGGAAAGGAGAGGGAAAGAGAAACATGGTATGTGAAAGGGAAACATCCATTGGTTGCCTCCCCTCCACCAGGGATTGAGCCTGCAACCTAGGCATGTGCCTTGACCAGGAATCAAACCATGGAGACAATGCCCAACTAACTGAGCCACACTAGCCAAGGCTACCCTTTTTTATTTTTTAAAGAAAAAAATGAGGAAGTGGGTAGAGAATAAGATGGATGATGAAGACATGAGAATCACATCCCACTTTGATTAATAACTACTAATGGAGAATTATTGGAGATTATGACTTGGATGATTCTTATCAGATCATAACCAACCTCTCTACTAGGTATTTAGCTAACACTATACATTTTCCACAGAACTTCACTTCATCATTTGATTCACAAAACAACTCTGTTGGATGGTAAGGTACCTTCTTTTGACAGGTAAGCATAGATGCTCAGAGACAGAGACACCTGCTTAAGATTAACTGGAGAGTAAGAGGTAGAGGTAGACTGAAGAGTCCTTTTAACCAACATGCTTAGAATCTAATTAGGGGTATTCATGAAATAAAACCTTATGGCACAAAATCCATGGTGCTTTCTGCAACAGCAGAAGAGAACACATTAAGGAATTAGACACTGAAATTGGTTTTCAGATGATTCAGATACTTAGCTCAGCTGATTCAATCATAAGTTAACTCCAAGATATAATAGTCAAACAAGATCAAGATCAAATTCTCTTTATGACTACATTGTGGCAGGCACGAAGAAAAGTGGGTGAGACAGACTAATTGCCTAATGAATACTGTCTGCTAGTCTCCTCTTTTCTATGTATCTGGAAAAATAAATTAATGTTATAAAGAAAAATTCCCAAACTAACAATAAAAATTTCCAAATTAATCCCAAGTCTCAGTTCTTCAAGAGGAACCTGTAAAAGATCATTGCTAAGAAAAGTTTTGCATCACTTGACATTTAATTTGAAATCGTTTATCTTCAAGTCAGCAATAATTAGGTGCTGCTATCAGCCATTCATCATGAAATGTAGAAAAATACATTTCCTCCAGAGAGAGAGCAGTGCGTAGCCGGGGCGAGTCAAGGAAAGCCAACACAGTTGAGAGCAGATGTTTTAAAAATAAATGTCCTTTACTTATCCCCTCATGAGGTACCTCAGTTATGTAGTGGTATCATTGTTCTGTCCCCTGTACTGTACAAAAGTGGTGCTGTGCTAGCCAAATTCTAATAAAAAGTCTTCAGTACTTAGCCTTGTATTGTCAAAGAAAATGGATCATCTAAAGCACTTGTATTTCTAAGGGAATGAACATACGTTAATTAGTTAGTATATATGGCTCAATGAGACATACTATTTGTGGATGGTACACCCAACAAGAGTTGAAAATTGTAGGGTAGTCACTTTTTAATTGCATGTGTTTGGATCTAAGCCAATTACATTACTCCATTAACTTTGCCTAGTGGAACCAATATGGAATTAACATGAGATATATGTTTTAGAGAGAAATGTATATCTGGCACTACCTGAGCAGGTAAATTTTAAGGAGTGTTAACCTAACTTTGGAGAAACTATACAAAACCCCTACAAGAAACAATACTATGGGGAGGGAAGAGAAAGAACAACTATAGAAACTTAATGTGACTTGTATGTAAATGTAACTGGATCCATATGCAACATCATCACTTGAAGGTCATAGAACTAAGAAGCAATCATCTTAATAAAATAAGTTAGCTTCAAGTACAGATTTGAGTGTGGTAGTCAAGTCAGATTTTATTTTTTATGGAAATGTGCTTTGACCCTATCCTGTGTGTAATGTTGCTTTAAGCTTTTATTATGTTGTGATAATATACATATGGTTTCCAAAAGTAGGTCGTTAACTATCTTACTTTTCAATGGATTTCCCTGCTTGAATGAAGTTGATTCCTTCCAAGCTGATAATCTGTTTATGTTTTGAATAAACAGTATATTGACATAAAACTATTATGCTTTTCTTAGAGATTGGATCATGTCAGTGGTTTCTCCTTCCATCAGAAGTTGTGGTAGGTACCAGAAAAACCATTATGCAGTAATTAAAGGCTTTATGTGAAAGAAATCAGCAGCTCAGATGAGAGAGAAAGCACTGTTGCTGCTCCTGCTCTAAAGCAATTTTGATTTGTCTAAATGTGAGACACAATTTTACATCATTGGTTGTGTAGACAAGTCTGCCTTCTTCTCGAATCCTTTGTTCAGGCACTGGCACAATCAATAACTTGGGTCACTGGGCACTTGACTCTAATGAGGACAGTGGCTACATTAAGTCAATTTTATTTAATGTGTAAAATGAGTTCAACATTCTTTTATATTTAGATAATTTTAAAAAATCACATCAGTATATTAGAGAAAGGTCTACTTTTGAGGGGAAGCAAGGGAAAGATTAGTTTTTATTTTTGCTGAAAGCAGATTATGGTCATATCCTAAAATTATACATTACAATGACTTGGCATTGAGCTGGACATTCTCATTATACAACATTATAGAATGACATTTAAGTGATATATTAAAAGTAAGATGAGTTAGATATGTTTGAATTTAAAATAAATGAAATAAAATGTCCTCAGTTGGGCAGAGTAGATCTGAGTTAATATCATAATCTTTGCCTTTCAAGCTGTGTGCCATGAAAATAACAGTGACAACAGTGACTTAAAGTAAGTTTCTGAATTGAAATATAGAAGCACATGTGCTTGGAAGAGTATTTATTTTATTGTCTGCTTGTAGAGGTTGTCCCTAGAGGACTCTGTTCCTCCTCGGGGTCCTAAACTTTGAAGTCTGCTGATGTTAGATGCTGCCTCATGGTTGCTCTGGCCCCCTTGTTGTAATGTGCTGTATACTGCACAGATCCATCCTGGAACACAGACAATTTTCCTTCTAACTAAGGAACACTAATTTTGGGAAAAATTCTTGTTATTGAAGATGCTTGCCAAACAATCTACAAATGGAGAGGAGTCTGGAGACTGTGAACAGTACTGGCAACGTATGAAATATTAGATAATAAAGAAGCAATGAAGAGAAACAAGTGATGCTGACTCTTGCATTTCATTAGATCTGATTCTGCATATAGTATATTAATAATGATACACCCTATGGATGCAATTTCATGTTTATAACACTTTGGCCATTGGCAGCATTGTGCACCTGTGTTTTCTATGCCTTCCCATCTGCTGCCTACAGTCATTCAGATTCAGGTGATGGAAGTAGTTTAGATAAAAGTTAATTAGCCTGCACTCTGCAGATTAAATCTCCATAGTTCAGCATCAAATAGGAATCTTCTGGGCAACTGCTGAAAGTAACTAGTGCCCGCCTTTCCCAAGATTAAAAATGTAAGATTCATTTTTCTAGAAAAATAAATCTTTAGTACTTTCTTGACATTTTATGAACGGATTCTATCAAACTTTTGATATCTGTCCTTACTCATTTACATATATATATATTTTCCCCTTAGTTTCTCAGCCTCTACAATGGGACCAATACCAATTACCTATTTGTTTCATAAATACTTTGTGCAAGGCTTAATGAGCCTGGATATTTTGATAAAAATAAGGCACAAAATGCATACAACTTCTATTGCTTAAAGGACCCCACCCTCCCTTAAATATTTATCTCATCATCATTAACAGCTAAGTTTACAAATAGCTTCTTTTATTGAAAATATATTTGATTTTTTTTAACTCATAGGAAACTTCCTTTATTTCCAGATAATTGGAGCAGAAATGGGCTGAACAGAGCATCTGCATACAGCCAGCCTTTGAGCCCACATCACATAGAAAGAAGACAGGGACAAAGACATAATCCCAAATGACTCATCCCATCCATTTTCATGCGATCACATAATAGCCAAGACTAATTAACCACCCTTCTTTACCTATTGCTTCTGGTACTAGTTACAGATTTCTTATTTACCCAAGGAATTCAAAGGGATGTGCTTCCCTCCTGACACCATCGCCTATGGCTCAGGCACATCTTCTAAGTCAAAGAGAGCAGATGCTGCTCTTTCCGCCACATGCTCTCCGAATTCCTCAAGGGAGTGAAACTCTGGCAAGTCGCGGATCCTCCCATCGCCCTTCCCACAACCCACCCTCCCACCAAGCTAGTCAATAGAACGCGGATCCCTCTCCAAGATCTTAAACTTAGACTTCCACTTCGTCCGGCACTTTTTCCCATTTTTGCTTTAAGTATTTTTCTTGTACTTCAATCTAGCAACTACCGAGGTGGTCCAATCCTTAAACAGTGTCAAAGTTGAAAATCCCTAAGTCCTTCATGACTTTCCCCGTCCCCATTCTCCCCCAGAACCCCCCCCGCGATGGTCCCAGCCCCCAGCTGCGCCAGTCTCCACTCCACGCCCCCGCGTGCGCTCACCTGACTCTCCCGCGGAAACTCGCGGCGCACGATGCTGATCACTGGAATGTGCAGAACAGAGCTGACCAAATCGAGCTCCATCATCTCGCCCTGGCTCTGGGGGAAAGCCAGCAGCGCCGATACCCCCTGCACCACCACGGTGTGGCACACGCTCTGCAGAAAGGAGAAAGGGTCACTGCTCCACGGCGAGCTAGGGGAGGAGAAAGGCAAGAGCGGCAGATCGCCCAGGCCCGCCTCGATGGCCATCACTACTTCCAAAGACAGGTTGTAGGGCAGTAGCCCTTCCACGCGGTTCAGGTTGTCCACGGCGAAGAGGAGGGCGTCCCGAGGCCACAAGGTCTCGGCCCCTGCGCCCTCCCCGGGCTTCCGGACACCCGGCGGCCCCCGGCCATGCAAGGCGCTCCCCAACCAGCGCGCGCCCGGCGAGGGCGCCGGGGGCCGCCAAGTCGCGGGCTCAGGCTCATCTCGCTGGGCGCCTGCCCGGCTGCTGTCCGGAGCGCGGCTGGCCGCGCGGGGGGCCGTGGTCCAGGGTTGCAAGTGCACGGCACCCACCCTCACCGCGTGTCCGATGCGCTTGAGGATCTGGCAGGGCTGCGGGTGCGAGGAGGAGCCCGGCACCCCGGCCAGCACCAGTGCGCAGGGCGGCGGCAGCAGCAGACAGACCCTGCTCAGCAGCCACCACAAACTCAGTCTCCTCATTACTGAGACCCGCGGGGAGAAAGCGCGCCCCCTCCTGCGTCCGGCTGGCCCCCCTGCAGCCGCCGCCTAAGGTCCCCGCCCCCAGGTCCCGCGCACAGCTCACAAGGCGCGGAGAAGCGGTCCCGGGAGCAGGAGCGGTCCCCGGGCCATCCAAGTGACAGCCTAGCGCGCCCCCGTCGGTCTCAGATCCCGCTCCTGGGTCCGTGCGCCTCGCATCCTCTGCCCGCCCAGTCCCTGCGCGGAGCCAGGCGGGCGGGCGGGCCGGCCGGTGCCGCTCACCCGCAGCTGGGGCGCCCGTTCCTTACCCGCCCCATCTGCAGGGCGGCTCTGAGTCCGGCCCCGCGGGGAGGCTGGGGTGAGAAGCACCCGGAGTCCTAGGGGGCAGCGGTGACCGAGGAAGTAACGAGCTCACTTGGATTCTCTTCCTTTCCCACCAAGGCGAGACGCACGGATTTCCTTGGGGTCGTGCAGGAGCGGGTGCTCACCGCCGGGATGCGGAAAAGAAGCCAAATCCGCCTCGCTCCGCCGTGGGCCATCCCCTCGCGGGCTTCCCCAGCTCAGGCTTCATTTTTCTACTTCCCTCGCTACTTCCTCTCTTCCTTTCGTCCTCTTTCCGCCCAGTCGCTGCCGCCGCTTGCTTCCTCCGAGGAGCGACGCGACTGGCCAGCAAAGGGTGGTTCTGCTCGGAGCGCAAAGTTCTCCCCGCCTCAGCCGGCGCCTCCCTGTTGCTGAGCCCTGGCACCAGCCGGTCGCTTGGCTGCGCTAAACGCCCACTGGTGGTGAGATTCCCGGTAGATGCTTCCTGCGCGCCTGGCAAGGCCTCTCCCCTCCCAGGCCAGGAGTCCGCAGTTTGCCACCTTCCCTGCGACCTCGGAGGGCGTGGGCTCCCAGCCGGGGAGAATTCCGAATTTGGAGTTGCGCCCGAAGAATCTGAAAGCCAGTTGTTCACTGGGATAAGCTCAGAGAGGCTGGGACTTTAATGAGCTTCTCTTCCCTGTGTTGGTTTACAGGTATTTCGAGTTAAGGATATTAAAGCAAGAATCGTTTACACATTTAATCCCCTCAATTCCTTCTCTCTGGCATGTGGGCCTCTGCGGTTTTTAAGGATCCCTATGTTTTTAGATTCTCAGAATTAAAGCAGTGAATTTACAGCAATCATTTGATTGAGAAATTAGAGATTCAACATACTTTTAGAGTTTCAAATACAGTCAACAGCATTTCCTGCTTTAGACCAGGAGTTCCCCAGAGCACTGCTTCTAGTAAGTTCTTTCATTTGTATGCTAATACGTGAGGTCAGTGGGTTATGACATCATCTTTTCCTCCATGATCTACATGATCTGGAATTAGAAGGGAGAAGTTTAAGAGGAGGTGCGTGGTTCTCACACATACGATAAATTTAATTTATGCCACAATATCAGTTCGGAGAGTAGGGGCCACGCCCCGGGAATCAGCAATTCTGAATTTCATCACCAATTCAAGAGAAGCATGACCTTGGCAATTTATTTCACCTGACCTTGGCCTGTTGTTTGGATCTGTTAAATTGTTATGCAAATACAGCTGGCCTGGAGCTTTGGAGAATTGTTTTGATTCCTGAGCTGAAGTTCCCATCATGCTTTAAATCCTCGGGATGAAGAGGCTCTATCTAGCTAAATAAAACCCCCAAGAAGGTTGCAAAGTGAATGCCGTTTTCCTCAGACTTTTAAAGGCATCTCAGTGCAAAAGGTACCTGACTCTCAAAATAGCCCTTGCAAGGCTGGGGTGCCAGAGGGGAAAAAAAGGCTTCCTAGAGGGAACCGTGAACATCATAACAGAGGGTGAACCACCAGGGAAAAGTTTCCTCCCGACGCCCCGGAGAGCATCCTATCCATGGATGCTGGAAATCCCTCTGGCTCCACAGGAGTGCATGGATTGGGATCTGAGTAAGAAGAGTAGAATTCCCTGGTGCTTGTATTGTAGGAAGATTGGGACTCCATGACTGTGTAGTAGGAGGTTTGCTTGCCTGTGTAGGAGTTTGTGTGCTTTGAGGAGGTTCACATTCCAGCTTGTGATCATGACCTGAGTGGGACTCTTAAGTTCCTGGCATTACACAGACATTCAAATCTGTTTCCTAAGAGAATAGAAGGTGATGAAGAATAGAGAGGTCTGATCTAGTAGGCAGTTAGACAGACATGAGCAGAGTAGGAACGATAGGTACAGGAGGTGACCGAGGTCTAATACCTGGTGCTGTTTGCAGGTAACAGATCTATTGGTTAATGGCATCCTACAGTCACTGTATACTCTTTAGGCCTCTCACAAGTCCACCACTACCTTGAGGGAATGGCTCAACTTGTGGTTCATAGAAGAGAGGATGATTCCCACAGTTCTGGGGTTAGTGCTGCCCCAGGTTATGCTAAAACTGCATCTGCACCCTGGCCAGTATGACTCGGTTGAAAAATCGTCCCATGCACTGAGAGGTTACCATTTTGATTCCTGGTCAGGGCACATGCCAGGGTTTCAGGCTTCATCCCCAGTAAGGGGGCAGGGGTGTAGGAGGCAGCTAGTCAATGTTTCTCGCTCATCAATGTTTCTCTCTCTCTCAAATCAATAAAAACATACTTTAAAAAAAAGACTGTAGCTGAATCGTGTGAATACTGTGAATAGTGAAGAATAGCCCTTCCTTCCTGTGTTTCCTTTTGCTTCTTTCCTGGGCTTTGCAGTTATGATACACTGATTTCCCCTCCCTTTTTCTTGCTGCCTGGTCCTCTTTTTCCATATCACTATAATCTGAGCATCTCTGACATGATTCTTTTTTTTCCTTTCCCCACATCTTCCTTTTTCCTTTTCCCCCTTCTCCTTCTCTTTTTCCATGCTTCAGTGATCATAATTTTTCAGATTCAGTCATCATTTCAACAACCATTTATTAAGCTCCCACTATGTGCCAGGCACTGCTGTAGGACTCTCCTGGGGATAGATGATTAAAGTCTAGTTCAGAGAATTTGAGTTTCCCCCCCAAAGTCATATAGTTAATGAGTGAACAAAATGCTAACATTGAGCTTATATTCTAGTGGGAGAGACAGACAATAAAACACAAATAAGTGAATATAGGATATGTTAGTTGATGATAAGGAGAAAAATAAAGCACCAAGAGGAAATATTAAGAGAGTGGCTTCTAAGCTTAGATAGAGCAGCTGGAGAAAACCTGGCTGAGAAGATAACTTTTGAATAAAGACCTAAAGGGAGGTGAGGAAGCAATTTGTTTGGATACTTACAAGGCAAGAATCTCCAAGCTGAGGAAACAGCAAGCGCAAAGGCCCTGAAGCAGGAGTGTTTCTGATGTTGTTGAAGAATAGTGAGGTGTCCAGGGTTGCTGGAGCAGAATGATCCAGGACAAGAGTGGTGGCAGGTGAGGACAGGAAGGTAAGAAGGATGTGATGGATCATGTAAGTCAATGAATAACATTAGTTTCTACTCTGAAAGGAATGAGAAGGCATTGGGGAGGGGGCAATAAGGAGAGGAGTGACAGAACCTATGTTTTTACAGGGCCACTCCAGCCGCTCTGTTGATACAGATGAAAGGTGGTCAAGGGTAGATGTCAGAGACCAGACATGAAGCTGTTACAATAATCTACATGAGAAATAACATTTCTAAGCGATCACAACAACAACTTTATCAGGTTGGAGTTATTATCCTCATTCTGTAGATAGGAAATTGTGTTTGAGGAAAGTTGGGTAATTTGCATGAAGTCCTCACGTAGTGAGTGAGGGGCAGTGTGGCTCTGAAATTCTAAGTTCATCCCAGCTGCATTGTTGGTAGCAAGACTCAGCCCAATTTCAGAATTGGCTCACCCAGAGGCGACGAAGCGCTTTATATTACCAGGTTGGAAATGAGAACTGCTCATCTACTCACGTTGGAAAGTCAAATAAACAAAAACAAATCCAAATGCTGGCAATTTAAAAAGTGCTTTTGTGCACATCTGTGCTTCCTGGTACCAGCGATGGGGTGACTGAAAGCTGAGTGTTCTGGAGGTGGCCCGGGAAAGCTGCAGTGAAGGCCACAGTGCGAGTCAGAACTTCGATTCTGTCCTCAGCACTGGTTCCCTATGAATGTGACATTTAACGTCCCAAAGCTCAAGCTTCCTTTCTACTGGGGTCCTTGTGACAGTTCTTTCCGATAGTCTACACAGCTGTGCGTGGACCCCTGTGACTCCTGTCAAGTCCCTTAGAAATGGGAGGCTTCTCCAGGGTGATCAGTTTTGTCACATATTTATACAAGTTTGGACAACTATTTCTTTTTTGCCTATATCCTGACATATTTCAAGTCCTACCCATACCTAGCTTTGCTTTGTAAGTAGGAATAATAGTAAGTGGAATGTTTTTAACTCTGGGTCAGGCTTTTATGCAGCAGTAACAAGGTAGGGTTGCTTTTTTAACCAATATTCACATGACAGATGTGCTTACCGCTCATTAATGATACCCATAAGCCCAAATTGTATCCCTCCCCACATCAACTTCTTTGTCTGTGTTGCCAGAGGCCCTGTTGTTATGAGAACCTTTCCGGGTAAAAACAAACCAAAAAATATGTGAAGTTGATAGGGAAACGATGTAGCAGAATTTGAGGAGAGAATGAATCTAGAAAAAATTAGGTCTGTTTAGAGGAGCAGACCCCATCTAAAGAATAATTATTCTTTTCTCATTCCACCAATTAAAAAAAAAAGCCAATATTGACTTGATACCTAATAACACTGTCCTATATTCTACTTATTAGGCATTAATTTTGGCAATAGTCATCTTTTTAAAAAATGCCAATAACTCATGATTATGGGACTACCCACCCATAAAACATTAGTATAAATTATTTTACCCTGAATGTTGTAAAATTGATATCCTATTGGGAATGTTGGGAGCGGGAGGGATTCATTTTGCATTACACAGGAATTTGGGGACATAGAAAAGGACCAGGTGGGGTCTCACAGAAGGAGTTTAGGCCAATCAGGGTTTGGAAACAGAAGAAAAGGAGCATTAGGAACTAAGAAAACAGTGTAAAGAAAAAGTAGCAAAAAGTTAATTCCCTTTGTCTAGTTCAAATAGTCCTTAGGCTTTGTTTATGCTGGAACATACAAAGGGAAAGGCCTTCCTTTTACACCATGTGATCAGCTATACCCAGGAGAACAAATTCAGGCCAGAGCCATTACCTGGAGATAAATTAGGGTTTGCCAATAGTTGTTTGCCTTTCAAAAATGAAAAAGAACACTGTGGTGTCCTCAGTCTAGCTGTTTTTTGGGGAATAAGCTATCAGTTGTGACAAGTGCATGGCCTTTTCAATATCCACCAGGATTATTGGCTGAGTGTTTAGATGTCTTGGTTCCTCTCCTAAACCACACACTACAAGGGAATAAAATAGGACTTGGGGGGGGACCAATATGACAGTGTCTCTCAGTCTCTCTCTCTCTCTTCCCCCTCCCCCTTGGTGGCAATCATTCCAACATAGTGTTTATCCAAATGAGTTATGGAATAAAACTTGGCCCATCACAGACTGCGACATTTATAAGGGACTTTTTTGTGCCCAGTTTGTAGCACAAATTTTATACAAGTAGCCAAAAGAATTTGGGAATTTTCTAAGTGCTATTTTCCTTCATAGATCTCCTGCCTTATATCTGTAAAAACACTTTGTTTAAGAAAAATTGTTTTGTTTCTTTAGAAAGAGACTTTTAGGAAGATTTTCAGGACATGTATAGGAATTAAGAAATCTTTATTATTCTGGAGCTTATTATTATCTTAACTTCTACATGC